AGAATGGAGTTTGCGATGGGAGCTTTTCTCCGACCAGCAAGCGGACACGGAAGGATGTGCCAGGCATTGAGGCAATCAACAGCCTGCCCAATAATTTGCCTTTGCCCGCTGTTTCTCCTCTTCACCAGCTTGACATGAAAGCTCCCCTGCCCCTGCAGAACAGCGGAACTCACAATAGCGGTCTAGAAGACTTGGGTGAAAATGGTGGGCTTTCCGAGATAAAGCTCCCTGTTAATGGCTGCAACGAGCTAGACGATGGTTTTAACATCCTGCAGAACAAGGAGCTAAAGCAAGAGCCTTTGGATGACTCCAACTGCATAGACACTTCTGAAACATCTCTTTCAAATCAGAACAAGCTCTTCTCAGACATTAACCTGAACGATCAGGAGTGGCAGGAGCTAATAGATGAACTGGCAAACACCGTTCCAGAGGATGATATACAAGACCTGTTCAATGAAGACTTTGAAGAGAAGAAGGAGCCAGAATTTCCCAGGCCTGCCGCAGAGACTCAAGAGAGCGCGAGCGTGAAAAGTGATCCATCTCATTCTCCATTTGCTCATGTTCCACTAGGGTCTCCCCAGGTGAGGCCGTCTTCGTCCGGTCCTCCATTTTCCAACGTCTCCACAGCCTCCAGCATAGCTTCTGTGTCCAGCGCCCCACCAGCCCCGGTCCCTGCCAGCTCACCAGCAAACTGTGTTGTTCAGTCACCTCAGACTCCCAGCCAGGCCCACACCCCAGGCCAGACGCAGGTGCGCTCTGGAAATGGCTACCTTATGAACCCAGCAGCAGCCACCGTGGCAGGACCGGGGCCTGGGCCAGTGAACATGCCGAGCGCTGACTTGTCTCCAGCTGAGCAGCTCAAGCAGATGGCAGCCCAGCAGCAGCAAAGAGCCAAGCTCATGCAGCAGAAGCAGCAGCAGCAGCATCCAAATCAGCCCTCAAGCTGGTCACCTGTGGGCCCTCCATCTAGTCCCTACGGAGGACCCTTCAGTGCAGACAAACCAAATAGTCCAATGATGTATCCTCAAGCCTTTAACAACCAAAACCCAATAGTGCCTCCTATGGCAAACAATCCCCAGAAGACCACAATTAATAACTACCTCCCTCAAAATCACATGAACATGATCAGTCAGCAGCCAAATAACCTGGTCACAAACTCCTTGAGCAAGCAGCCCAATATGCTTTCTTATGGCAACACCAAACCTCTGACCCATTTCAATGCTGAGCTGAGTCAGAGGATGACCCCACCGATGGCAAATCCCAGCAAGAACGCTATGATGCCATACATCCAGCAGCAGCAGTCCCAGCAGCCCCAAATGCAGGCTCAGATGGCGCACCTGAGCGAGGAACAGAAGCGCATGCTCATCATGAAGCAGAAAGGAATGATGAATCAGCCCATGGCATATGCAGCACTTCCTGCCCTTGGTCAGGTAAGCGTGAGTGGATGGTGCGTGGGCAATCAGAAAGAGGCTGATGCAAAGGCTTAGTACCTCTTTGTGCAGTCTCCTCCACCCTCCTTCTCTTTCTTCTGGAGAATATGGAATGTCATTGCAGATGCTTCTCAGACTTTTCCTGTGGTATTGGAGCTTGATCATATGAAGAAACGAGTGAGATGATGTTGCATTATGGTTTGGACCTGTTGTTAATTCACTGGGTTTTTTTTTTCTGAACTAGCACTTTTCCCCTGTGTTTCTACTGATTAGTGCTTAGGGTCGCTCTGGGAGGTTTTGAGTCAGAAGTCACTCCTCCTTGGAGGGTTTGTTTCACTTTTTTCATAATGTAAGATTTGGTGGTTGTGGACCCCAAACCACTGCATGGCTTAGTTTCCACAGGGTAGTTAGCACTGTAACAAAAAGAGGGAATAGCTGGACCCTTCTTCTTGGGGAAGAGATGAAGCCAGCTTTAAACAGCGTATTTGACATTTTGGCTCCAGGAACAAAGGAAGGACATTTTGGGTGCTGAGTGCCTTTGGTTTCTACTGGAAGAAGTAAGCACATCTGAATGCTTTTAGTGGTGCTTGAAACATGATGATGAGATGAGGTGGTTTGTTCTGGAACTTTTGAGCTGTCTTTAGCAACATCAAGTATTTTATTGTTGTGAATCCTTTCATTGTTTGTGAGTCTTTAGGCAAGAGGCTAAAGCCATGTTGGCTTGAGAGGCTTGGCATCACTGTCTTGCAAGTATTCCATGCTAACCTCTGGAGCAGCAGTTGCCAGGTTTGGGGAACACTCTATAATGAGCTAATAGCCAATTTGAATAATGGTTATAGTAACGCCCTGTCATCTCCTGGGTCAGCTGGGTATTCTTAGGTGAAAAGCCCCTGTAAAGGTCTGCCCACTGGTGTAATGGAAAGGATCAAGAATAAATTTTCCAAATGTTGTTTTGAGAGTTTTCAAATTAATTAAACTTAATAATCAGTTCCTCAAATTGGTGATGCCTTCACAGAAGTTATGCGCCACCTAAACATGTCAGGAATTCTGATATAATAGTACTCTAATAAAATTATTGGTTGATGGTCTTAGCATAACAGCTTTTCACCAAATTAGCTGTTTCCACACCACCTACAAGGAATATTTCTTTCTGAGCATGGTCTAACTGTGATTCACACTATAATGCATGTAGAAATACATCAAAATTTGTCATTGCTTCAGCTTGTGGAGTTTGGGGATCTACCAATAAGGAGGAGTAGGAGCTTTACCAGGTCAGAGCCAATCACATATTATTTTAAATGAATTGCAAAACAAAAAGAAATGTTCATCTGCCTCCTGTTTTTGGTTCAGGATGTATGGTGACAGCTCAAAGGTTTGTATTTTTATATTAATTCTGCTTGCCTATTGCATTAGACATAGCTGGTCTAAAGCCTCTTCTTTTTGGGAAGGCTTATCTAGAGAAATACTGCAATAATGACATGGAACTCAGACTGTAATCGGAGTTACAGATTTGTCAGGTTGCAATAGAGAGGCAGAGGGTGTTTGGTCACACTGTCTAATGCTTTATCATCTTTTTCTTTTGTTTTTCTTAAATCTGTTGAATTCAGAGACCCAGCAAACAGCTGAGAGGATGAACTGTCTGTGTGAAAGAGTTAATGTCATCTCCTCCATTTCATAAGTTGAGAAATTCATGTTAATATCTCTATGCAATTCCCTAGTATGAACAGGAAGCCGAGGTTTCATATATCTAATCTCACTCAGTTCCTTTTCTTTTTTTAATGTAGGAAAAACTAGATATTTGAATACAACTAGACATTCTTCCATAAACAAGTCCAGATATTAAGTCATTTCTGTGTCATATAAAGAAGAAACTTAAGGCAGCTCATACTTTGTTATAAATTATGTGCAATTCACAATTATTGACCCAGTCAGAATGAGGGACTTCTTGCTTTTGTGTAGGCGTAGAAAGGTTCCTTTACTACTTGTGGAACCCACTTGCCTACACTGAAGGGATGTTGTTTGCCGAGGAAGGTTGAAATAATAGATTTCTAACTGTAATGTATTTCTTCCTTCTTTCTTTCCCTGATTCCCTGAAAAGTGTTTTTCTCTGGAAAATTGGAAAGCTTATTATTGTAAGATGTGCTTGATGGAACAGATTGTTTTTGCAAAAGTGGTGAAAATGTTATGCTGATATTGTTGAGTTAAACACAGACTGATGCAGATTATCTGATTCTATGGCTTACTGCAGGATGCTGATGGTCACATATGAAAAATAAGGAGATTTTACTCTTTAGTTTGAAATACATTTCTGAATATAAAATGAACGTATCTTTCCAACAGTTTATAGTTCATTGTAGCTTTGAATTTTGATACGGATTTACAAAAGTGTGTGTTAGTGTTAAACTATCACGCTGATTTAACAAATGTCATGTAAGGGGAAAAAGAAACTACCTATTGCATCTCACGGTTAACAGTGACCACATATTTCTGTCAAGTTATTCTTACAAGGGCATAGTTGAGAACCAAAAGCTGATCTGGGGAACATCAAATGCGTACGTAAACACCTTGTCTTATTTTCAGTGTACTGCTGTAAAATTTAGACATGGCTTGGTTTTGTGCGCGTGTACAGACACTAATTAAATCCATTCCCATTTGTGCCTCAGGTTGTAATAGGCAGCATTTCTACGTGAACTCATTGCTTCAGTTGTTGAGCGTATTTTAGCCAGGCACACCACTTTTTCAGTCCAGCTGGGACCTTGCAAATGCTCTGTGGAGGTCAGCTGTCCGTGACTGTCCTATTAAAGTGTCAGTGCTGGTGCTCCAGGCTTATGTCTTGGGCATGCTGAGCATCACTGCATACTCCTGTGAAGAGAGGTGAGCAGCGAGAGAGGAAGCCTTTCAGCTCAATATATCCGTGAGTCGCTGGACAGGCAGAGTGCTAAATTAGCAGCTTAGCCAGCAGAACTAGTATCCAACAGAAGTAGGATCTCTCTAAAGGCTCTCTGCACTGTCGGTGTTGAAACTCTTCCTGTCAGATGTGTTAGTCCTTTGCTTCTCTGTGTAGATCCAGGGCTGGTACTGGCACTGCAGTTGTAGCCCTCAACCAGCTATTGCTTAACAACCCATATGCCCTGAACCATTATGTCCTATATCTTATTCTATAGCTTGTTTCAGTGAGGATGGGGTGTTTTTCCCCAAAGCAGATACTGGTTTGGATTTTTGCATCGGGAATTTAAAGCCATGGTCAGATCCTGACCCATCTATATGCATCAAAACCCATGGTGGATCCTGACCCATCTACCTTCAGCAAGATTCTGTCTTCCTATGAGTGTTCCCTTGCGTCTGACTGTTTTCCACCTGGTCAGGCTTGTATTTAGAAATCCCTGCTCTCTGCCTCGTTCCACATACCCTGATCTGCTCTAAACCTAGTTGTTAGTTTGTGACTACACGGCAGGTGTTGCCCTTCAGCCTCTTGCTTTTTCTGGGTGTTTCTTTCATTCTTGCTTAGCTGTGGCTTACAGGCTAAACCAGCAAGTAGATTTTCACAGGGCTGGTAACTTGTTAGGTATTTGAGGGATAGAGGTCCTCTACTCTTCTGGTTCTCTTGCACCAAGATGCAACAAGGACTTCATTATGTCATTTAAGAAATTAAAGCAAGCAAGCCTGAACCAACCTCCTTCTCTCAAAAATTAGAGCAATGTTTAACCTAAAATATTCCATTAAGTTTTTGAGGTGTATGTAAGGTTTTATGGGATGCACTCTTTTTTTTTTTTCTTTAAACCAAAGAGTAATTTCAAATTGAGGAAAAGTGAAAACATTTTCTTTGGGAAATTTCAGAATAATTAATTGTGCCTTTTCTGGGTTCCAGCTGTTCAACATGCATGCATAATGGTAAGGGAAAAAAGCAACCCAATGGAATAGATGTTGAATGGCTGAGGCAGAATTTGATGTTTGGAGCCAAGTGTGCGAGGGAGAGTAATGAGAGGTCGAAACAAAACAGAATTCTCTGTGGGTGTAAGAAAAATAAAACTCTTTGCCTGCATAGGACTGTGAGGATGCTGCAATTATAGTTCCTATTGAAACCACTAGTTACGTTGTTTGAAATCGAAGGGATGTGAGTGAAGGGGAGAAATGACACCATCCTGCAAGAATATATTCACTTTTTTTCCCCAGTCTTTTGTTTTAATCTTCCAAATTCGAGGTCCATCATCTCCTCAGTCTGGTTTTGCATGCCAAAGATAAAGGGAGATCTGTGTCCAGAGAACATTTTTCAAACTTAATCGTTGTTGTCCTTTCAAAATGAAAAGGTGTGTCTCTCTCAGGAATTGTAAAAGAGATTTTACACTTTTTTTTGAAGGTTATCTTTGGGATAGTGAGAAAAAGAGATCATTTATGTTCTGGGATTTGGTCTTTTTTAAAAGCCTACCTGAAAGTAAAGAAAGAAAGGCTACAGATTTGTATTCACTGCATGAAAGTGTGGCAGAGTCACAACTATCTTACCAGATTTTAGGGGAGACAGCCTGGGACAGAAATAATAACAGAGACAGCAAGAATCACTTGCTGAACAGCCCACAGAGCTGTAGAGGATGCCTATCTGTTCTATGTTTGAGTTGTAGATGCTGTTTTATATAAGATGTAGGGCCTTTCTTTTACAAACGTCAAAATCAGGAAATCAGTCTCCCATAGACTTTTAAGGACAAGGGATTAACAGAATGTGTTCAGATGGATTCTGACCATCTCACCAGGCAATTTCTAAACAATAGCCTAGCCTTCTTACCATTCCTGCTATCATCTGCCCACTGTGTTGAGAAGAGGCCACGTCAGCATAAATCACTAGAAACAAGTGTTGGACAGCACTTGATTAAGGTCAAATCTCCATGGCATAATCTTAAATCCAAATCTGTGGCTTAATCTTAAAAACAATTTTGTTGGTATTTCCTTATTTTGTGACCCGTGATTCTTTACTTATTAATCTAATACGCACTTTGTTCATTTCATAT